TTGGCTCTTTTATGACTCGTGGACTTCAACTCCCAGAATTCCTGAGCCAGCCATGCTGAGGGGAAAGGGAGAGGTTTCCAAGCTGAGCCATTCTGGCTCAGGAATTCTGGGAGTTGAAGTCCACGAGTCATAAAAGAGCCAAGGTTGCCTACCCCTGGTCTACATGATCACAAAGAACTGAAGAAAGTTCTACATTCAGATCTGGTAGCCTTAATTATGCTTAAATACAGGAAGCAAGCCCAACTTGAGAGGTAGTCAGAGAATTCTATACTCTTTACTTGTAGCTTTGATACCATATTATTAAACTTTCTGATTTGAAGAACATATCTAGCTCTGAGTTAAGCATCTCAAATAGTGTTCTCCAGCCTGTTCCATGCACGTCAGACTACAGTTCCCAATTTCTTAGCCAATATGGATGCTGGTTGCAACTTCTACTAATTTTAGTTCAACGCCTGTGTAAGGTATCAACTGAGAACAGCAGAAAACAGGTGTAATCCACGGATCTGGTGAGAAGATAATATGATAGTAAATGATCACTACCTTTTCAAATAATGCATAGGGAGTTCTCTTATGAAATGGTACTTTGCACCAACAATTCCTTGAAAATTAAAAAAAAAACACAGCACAGCAGAAAAAATATTCTGTTTCAACTAATTCCTTCCTATACAAAATGTTTATGTTCCAAAAATGGATATTTACTCCTTACTTACAGTCTGTTGTGGTCAAGGTTCTTCTGACCTGAGGTATTTTCTCATCTTAATTGGAAGAAATAACTAGTTATGGATGTGAGCTTAATTAAGAAAAGGTTGACCAAAAGAAAACAATGTGTTGCTGGAAAGAATCTGCTATATATTCCTGATTTCTTGGAATAGCATGCTTTATAATAAACCTTCTGCACATTATGAACATTTAATGTAGAAAAAGACACTAATAATTATTTCCCATTCATTCCTCAAAAGGCATATTATAATGAACTTATAAAGTCTGTCTCTGTTACATCCACCAACAAAAGTTCAGGTATCTTACACATTTTTGGTTTCAGCTTAAAAAGGCTAAACCAGGTGTAGCTTGAGTACAAAGTGGATATCAAAAATATGTAAAAATCTCATTTAAAAAAAAGGTTTCAGTTTGGAGCAATTAAGTCAATTGATGAAGAGCTGGATGCCAACTAGTTCAGAAGTCAAAAATGGTGGACTGCACAGATAGATATATAGGTTAAATTTGCCTGCCAAAGTAAAATATCCTGTATTTAAATCACTGGATATTGCTGGGGAGAAAAGAAAAAAAATCATGTGATTCTGGCTTGTGGATATTGGATGAAATATAAGAGATGGTGAATTGTTTTTGTTTTTTTCCTGAAAGAGTTTCTGAGCTATTGGGAATCAGAATTACTTTATCTGAATCATGGCAAAGTAGAATTTCATTCAATAGTATCTCTAAGGGGCACAACCCACACTTATTTTCCCAATCATTCCTCAGGTCCAGCTATCCATTATGTTTTGTTCAGAAATGGGTGAATGACGCTCCAAATGTTGGTGGACTACATTTCCCAGCATTCTTTTTATATTGGCCGATACAACTGTTAGTTCTAGTTCAGCCCCATCTGAAGGACCACATGTTCCACCCATCAGTTTAATGTTTTCATCTTCACTAGCAAAACTTGATGGAGAAGGCAGTTGGCAGATGCCCAGGAGATATGGATGGAAAAACAAGAGATTAGCTTAGACACAGAAATAAATCACTGAAGTTGAGCTTGGAAGTTGGTACTAACTTCAAAGAACTTCTCTGCCACTAAAACTCTGAGATTATTGTCTGGACAATATATTTTTGGACACAATTTATCATCACTGTTACATCCAAAGTTCAGTGCCAAGGAATGCTTACATGTGTGTGCTTCTTTTCTACAGCCTTTATATAGCTGCCCATCCTTCAGAGCTGAAAGATATCTCTACATAATTCTCCATGTTGTCCCCCCAAACCCTTTTATAAACTTCTGATAGTTTGTCTTTGCTAGATTTATGCAGGACTTCAATTGCAAAGAGAAAAGGATGATTTAGAATGTGTGTGGACATGGATATTACATTTGTTGGCACGTTCTTAAATCACATTCATGTTCTGAATCAACTTTTCTACTCTGAATCTGTACATATGACCTCTAGGAATTCACCAGGGCCAACGTACAATCACAGGTAGCATTTATCTGCCACCTCTGACTACTTGCAAACGGATATTTGCCAATATCTGACAACTGACATGCAAAGGAGTGCCATTCTGAAAAACAAAATTAACGTAATTCAAAGAGCTTCACCCACTTTATACCCAGCTTTGTCATTAAAACGTCTGTATAGCACTGTTGTTGTTTTTAAAAAAAATCCATAAAACAGTTTATAATTAAATTCAAACAATTAAATATTGATAAAAGCACATTGCAATAAAAATGTTGTGTAAAACATACAAAACAAAATTAGTAAAAATAATAACAGAGCAGATTATTTTTTTAAAAAAAAGTTTTAAATGTTACTGCAGCCTTTAACCCTGTGAAAACAGGAGGAGGCTGAAGTCAGATTTTGAAATAAAATACGGAGTTCAAACCTGAAAACTCACCCCCTTTCCCTTTTCCATCAAAAGTTTATTTTAACCCCAGTTCCACCTGCATTTACTATATTACTATTCTGCTTTTTCTCCCAGATGTTCAAGGAAGGGTGGGTGGCTTTCTCTCCCCTCCCCACTTCATTCTCAGAATAACTCGGCGAAGCAGTTAGGTGGAGAGGTGATCTGTGGCCATCTCTAGTGAGTTTTCTGGCTGTGTGGGAATTTGAACCCTGATCACCCTGGCCGGCGCTGTTTTTCCAAAAGTGCTTTTTAATTTGCTCTGGCTGTTTCTGTTTGCCTGTTTGCCCGCCTCACACCTATGTGCTTCCTCCTTTCTCAGCCGCAATAAATCCAAGAAAGAAAACGAGCAGGCATTTCCCCCCCCCCTCTCTCTTTCTCTCCCCCTCTCCCTGTCCCTCTCTCTCTCCCTCTCCCCCTTCCTCCCTCTCTCTCTCTCTCTCTGGCCGTCGGAACGGCCCCAGCCTATTCAAGCAGAAGTGTAAATCCAAGCGGAGAGTATTAGGCAGGGATGAGCCGTCCCTGGTAAATCCTCCCCATTCCGCGCTCAGCAAGAGTTTGCTAGGAGGATTAACCCACGTCTTGTTCTCAATCCCGGTTTATGAGTTTCCCCGCTGGCTGGGAGGATCCGGTGTGTTTAAACAACAGGCTAATTAATCCTCATTTTATTACTTTCTCTTGTCAAGTGGCTAAAGAGAAGCTGTCAGCTCGGTGAGCCGCCCCACTCGCGTTTGTTTAGCTCCCAAATTACTTCATCAGAACCATCTGCTGCAAACGTCTTGGCTGGAGTTATTGATTTCTCTATTCAAATGCCTCGCCATGCCAGGAGGCGAAGACTTTAAAGGAAATTTTAGGGTCACGGATCCAGGGTAGTCCTGTTTGTTATTTATGACGGGGAAGGAATGCCTCTCAAACTGACAGGTGAAGTTACGGGCAGAATCGGTTTGCAAACCGTTTGGAATTAAGAGTACCAGGCAAACCAAAAGGATTCTTCAGGAATTCTCTGGTGCCAAAACTAAAAAAAAAAGAAAGAAAGAAAGAAAGAAAGAAAGAAAGAAAGAAAGAAAGAAAGAAAGAAAGAAAGAAAGAAGTAAAGTCTTTAAAGCGGCAGGAAGAAAAAATAAAACACAATCGGGGGGGGGGGGCTTTGGAAAAGCACATTTTATCGTTATGGGTTACCTGCTTTATTTTTCCAAAGGGGCATGCAGTACTTCTTCCTGTTCAACATTGCTTTAATTTTACTTTAAAAAAAAAAAATGTACATCCCATCTGATACAGAACTAACGAATAACAATGCAGTGCTTCTTCAACTGGTTACAATAATGGTTTAAAGTTAAACCCATTTTAGTTTAGTAAAAATGTACGTCTTGATTACTCAAACAACTAATTTCAGCATTATTATTGTCGCTGTTGTTGCTGTTTCGAGTTCAAACGTAAATCTTCAAGTGGCATTCTTTTCTGGCTGCAAAAGAAGGGAACGGATTTTAAATAATTTTATAGTAATCCTTAACTACAAGTGACTGCAAGAAAATGTTCCAGACACCTTTCAGGATAATAAGGCAGAAGGTAATTGCTATTGCTTTCTTCCAACTTCCCAGTGTAGTCTATAGCCCCCTTGCTTTTTAGTGGTCTCTCACCCAAGCTCTACTAACCTGGTCCAATCTTCCTATGTTTTTTAAGATCAGCCCTAATAGACTAGATGCTGCCACCTAGCTGGACATGTGTTCAATTTTTAAAAGGGAAGGAATTACAGTACATTGGGGATGGTTCCTTAAAACTATTCTCACTCTAAATTTGCTCAATTATCTGACTTCAGGCTGAAATATTAAGTCTACTTCCTTGGGCCTCAATATTTTACATACCTACTAACGATGATCCTTATGCTCTTTATATTACACTATAATCTGGATGTTTTAAACTAATTGAAGCTTGTAGAAGTTGACATTTACGCTGAATTAATAGAGCTGAATAGTGGAATGGACTGATTGAACTTAACGGTGAAATGAATTGAACTGAACTGTGGAGCACAAGAGAGAATCCTCTCTCAATCTCACAGTTAAAGTAGGACATGCAACATGTCCTTCTTTACGTGACACGTTTCAACATTGTGCCCTCATGTGCTTCCTATGGACCGCAATTTGTCTACCTGTGAAGTAGGGCCCATTGGCAATCAGATGGAAAAGCTTGTGTAAATTGGGGGGGGGGAATGAGCTTTAACTTTAGTGCAGCCGATGTAGACAAGGCATGTAGACAAGAAATCTAAAAATCCACAGAGGGGGGGTGGGATGTACTGTAGCAACTTAGGTCTCTTCATCAGCTTCATGCCTTATCATCTTAATTGCTTTGCCCCCAATTCTCTCTCTCTCTCCCCCCCCCCTCCTTTTGGTCAGGCTCTTCCAGACCAAATGCAGCGGTTGCCTCAAAGCTGTGGCTCCTTCTGAATTCATCATGCGGGTGCTGGAGAACGTCTACCACGTCCACTGCTTCTCCTGCTGTGAGTGTGAGCGGCGGTTGCAGCGCGGAGATGAGTTTGTGCTGAAGGAAGGGCAGCTGCTTTGCCGCAGCGACTATGAGAAGGAGAGAGAAATGCTAAGCGCCATCAGCCCTGCACCCACTGAGTCAGGTGAGAGAGGAGTGGCCACCGGGTTTTCTGCTCAGTAGGGTTAAAAGAATGACCCTGAACATGCACGGAGAGGCCCTTTTCACCGTCCTGTGTCCCATAACCAGCTCCCGGGCATTCGAGGCCGCTGAAACACAACCCTGTGTGGACAAATGAATATCCCATCCTGTTAGCTGGTTTCTTATTTCCAATCAAGAAAACTTGTACAATCCTGAATACGCGGTATTGCAGGAGAAAGTCTCTATTGATGTTAAAGAGGCAAAATGTGAAGGTTCACTGTATTGAATTCCTGGCTCAGTGTTACGCCCAGACTGAGATTTTCCACTTTCTTTCCTTGAATTTTATCTCCCTAGTTCAGGGGTAGGCAAGCTTGGCTCTTTTATGACTCGAGGACTTCAATTCCCAGAATTCCTGAGCCAGCATGGCTCAGCTTGGAAACCTCTTCCTTTCTCCTCAGCATGGCTGGCTCAGGAATTCTGGGAGTTGAAGTCCATGAGTCATAAAAGAGCCGAGGTTGCCTACCCCTGCCCTAGTTAATGCTAAAAGAGATTAAAATATAGCTGGATAGAACTCCTGTAGCCTCTAGGGATGGAAAGAGAGTAGTAGGACATGCTGGAAGGCTGTAGGAAGTGAAAAAGGCTACAGATGTCAAAGTTGCTCACACAGTCATGAGAAGGACAGATCTGTACCTCCTTTCCCCATACATCTTTCTCCGATTGCCATGGATATAACTGTCATCATCCATATTCTGGGGATGTTAAGATCCAAAGTATCTAAAGACCATCATGCTTTAGAACATCTGGACCTGGGCCAAGCGTCAAAGTTGTTGTGGTTAGGCACCTACTAAAACCTATGTCTTTTCAAAGGACCCACTATTGACCCAGGCCAATTTCTCATTTTTTGGTTAGGGAAATTGCCTAGAGTCAGTGAACCAGCTCTGCTTCCCTCCAATCCAAAGCCCCAATTAGAGGAGATAATAGAAAGTGGCTATAATGGTCTGGGGTTGGTGGGAGGGAGCACATATGGAGTCCATGTGTGAGGTCTTGCAAAAAACCTCCCATCCAATTATAAACTGTGCATGATAATCACTAACTGGAGTTAAATAACCTGAAGCATGTATGTTAAAAATCCTTTAGGCATATACATTATTAGCGAATATACAAACCTTCATTCCAATATAAGAGGAGATTCTGTTCTTCCATTCCATGCAGAATGCATGTGAAGAATATTTACCTCCTTTCCTGGCTTTGTCTTCCTTTAACAATGGGGGGTGGGAGGAAGGGGAGTTTGGAGTGCTTGGCCAAGAGGTTTTCCATGTTTCTGGCATCTGTTTCTGGAATTGGCCTGTCTCTTTCTTGCCTTTTTAGGTCTAATTCATGTAAGTATTAAAGTAAAAGAACAAGGTAAGTTAAAGGGGCATTCCACTCTCATAACTTTTGTTCACATGTTCACATGTTTATGCCAGCAAGGACAGTGAGGTGGTGGAGGAGGAAAAGCAGCAGCAACAAAAGATCCCAAAATTGACTGACCCTTAGCCTCTTTTGGGGTGCATGGCTTTGGCACATGCCAAACCATGCCAGGTCCTGATGCTGGGATGCACAGCTTTTGTCCTGGTAACTTTTTACATTTTTTAAAATTTCAATCAACAAAAGTCATTCTCTCAATTTTTTGCATTCAATACTATCAATTTTGTGGCAGGACCAGGGTTAGGGTTAGAATCTATCGTATACTGTACCTAACAGAATCTGCTTCAAGAGGTGTAGTTTGGTAACGTCCATTCAGGAAAGGCAAGTGATTTAGTGAATGAAATGATGGCTAACCGTACTTGGGTACCTTATGCTTCTAGGGAAATTTCCCTTGTTGGTGACCAGGGAATCCTCCATAATCCATATTTTCTTTCATAGTGAAGAGTGAAGATGAGGATGGGAGCCACCCACATGGCAAAGGAGGAGAGGAAAGCAAGGATCACAAGCGCTCCAAACGCCCACGTACCATCCTCACCACGCAGCAGCGACGGGCATTCAAGGCCTCCTTTGAAGTCTCCTCCAAGCCCTGCCGGAAGGTCGAGTTTCTTTCTTTCTTTCTTAAGGGATTCCACCCCAACCGTGAGTGGAGGGAGGGCTGACCTGCGGTCCTAAGAACATAAGCACTCTAATTTTGAAGCCACCATTTTTAATAATCTTTAGCAGAGCCTTTTCTGTAGCGTGTTGTTTGGGAGAAAGACCCAAAGGTGCTTTTTCAAGAGGCAAGTGGACTTCCTTGCTTTTCTTCAAAGAAAAACAAGAAGGTCCACCTGCCTCTTGAAAAAGCACCTTTGGGACAACCATGACCTGGATGACTGAGAATCTCCATAAACACTTGGGGGACAGAGAGAACAGGATGTCAGGGAGAATAATTCTCACATACTTTAGGCTTTAGTCACAACGGGCAGATGATCAGTAAAGAGAAACAGGAAATATTAGTATATTGTTGCCATCCAGTGGTCCCCTAGCCCAGATATAGTTGTCCTATTCCAGTGGTGGCGAACCTACTCAGAGCCCTCTCTGTGGGCACGCACGTCATGCCCCAGAGATGGGAACCCTCCCTCTCCAACCAGCCGCCCGCTACCTGGCCGAGATCCCACAAGGCTGGATGCATCCCAGCACCCATGCGCTTACTGGCCTCTGTGTGCAGGGGCCGATGGTGTCAGGCAGCAGCCACCCCGGCCCCTGCCTCACCTTTTCCTGTGACAATGGCACCCCCGCCCTGCCTTGCCTCACCTCACCCCGCAGGACGAGCCTCCTGCCCACCGCCCCACCTGCCAGAGACCCCCTGGATCTCCCCCAGCCCTGCCCGGCCCCCACAGACGTCCCTCCCCATGAGCAACATTGAGGTGATCACACCCACATTGGCCACACCCACCCAATCTGCCATGACCACCACAGCCACACCCATCCAGTGGGCCATGCCCACCTGGCACCTGGCGATAAATAAGTGGGTTTTGGGTTGCAGTTTGGGCACTCGATCTCTAAAAGGTTCGCCATCACTGTCCTAGTCTCTGGTGTCACCTACTCTTGCATCAACCCTACCATCCCACCCTTCAGTCCCTTACAGTTAGACCAGAGGGAGGGTGGTTCTCAAGAGAAAAAAAGATTTTCCACCATAACAGGTTTCTCTCTAAAAGACGACATCAGGAGCGCCTCCTCAGATCCACCACTGTGTCTATTTTCTGTTTTGCACACTGACTATCTCCTTTCAATTTCTTTCCCTCTTTTTTTTTTTAAATCCTGTGGACTTACTGCTCCCTTCCTTCCTAAATTCTTTCAGTTCCTGCTATTTTAAGAGAGTGGCCAGTTCAACCTTTACCCTTTACTTGCTTTACTAGAATGCAAGCAATCTACCACTTCATCCATCTTCCCATAACTCCCCTGCATAGCCCAATCAGACATCAGATTCTGTTTTCCTTTCCTCCACTTATCTTAGGGCATCTATTCTACTTAACCTATTGTCCAACTGCCAAAAGGGGGGTGATGAGCTTTACTTCTCCCATCTCCAGCAATGGTGTGGGATAGTCCAATATTTCATTTATCACACTCAGATGCTAGTATTTGAGCTGCTGGATGCAAACAAAAACAAAAAAACTTCTGCCTGTTCCTGTCTTAAATATCACCTAAGCTCTGAGCCTTTCTTTCCTTGGAAGAAACTCTGCTGGGGCCATACATTTGCTAGATTTCTGATAATACATTGAAAGATACCACGTTTATTTTATTTATTATTTCAATGTTGGGCCACCTGATTGGGCGGCTGGCAGATAAAAAAAATAGGGTCACCAACCGCCTCCAAGGCCTGCCGCAGATCACCCAGGTGGCCCAGCAGTGCCATGGCAACCATACCCTCTGCCCACGCAGCATCAACTGTGCATGACAGGGCGCGAGGGCGGAGTCTTGTCCCCGCTGCCCGGCAGCCATGTCCTTAGCTGCGCTGCTCTGGTAGGCTGCACTCAGGGGCGACTCTCCTCTGGGGAGGCTGCTGAAGAGGAAGGGGCCATGGGGGAGGTGGGGCTGGGGTGACGGTGCATGTGTCCACAGAGAGGGCACTGTCCTAAACCAATGGATGACCTCATCCAGCAGTTTCATGTAGATGGTAAGCAAAATAAGAAAATGAGTTGAACCCTGCATCACCCCATAAGTGAGGAGTCATGGACCACAATGCACCCAAAGTCACCATTTGTACAGAGGGCTTCCTTGTTGTGACATGAATTTAGCTTTTTAATGACTCCTTTTCTATTTTCTATAATGGGCAGGTAAGGGAGACATTAGCGGCTGAAACTGGTTTGACTGTCCGTGTAGTGCAGGTCTGGTTCCAGAATCAAAGAGCCAAGGTGAGTGATCATTTCTGAGTTTTGCATTAAATGACAGTTTATCTCCAGCCAAACCAGGGCAGAGAAATGTCTGCTTATCCCTAACTGTGAGCTAACTCATTTCCCAAACCTAGAAGTTCCTCAACAGTACAAAGTCCAAAACAAACATGATTGTTGATGGGGATATCTGACTCCTAGAATTTGGGAAGCCCTGGTTTAGCCATGTACAAAATGAGAATTCATTATTGTGGGTACCAACTTTATAAACAACCCTACAGCTATTTGTTTAGCAGCAGTTTCATCTGGGGAGGAATCACTAGGGGATAACATTTTATTTCCTGTTGTAAATACGTTCTACTTCCATTAATACTGAGGGCATTTTTAGTTGTTCATCAGCAAAGACTCTCACTGCATCTCCCAAAATGAAAATAACAGACTAAAACAGTTGCCAGCTTCCGCAGTTTGAATTGTTGTGACAGGCACAACAGTATGTAAGGACCCTCTTTTGCTCAGCCGTTGAAAGAGTAATGGTGTGTGGTGATGGTAATCAGAAAAAAAATCCTGATCATGAGAGCTATTTAGCAATGGAACTGCCCAACCTCCTGGACTGACAAAAAATCTCATCCCTGAAGATTTTCAGACATTTAGGCTAGATCAGGGGTAGGCAACCTTGGCTCTTTTATGACTTGTGGACTTCAACTCCCAGAATTCCTGAGCCAGCCAACTTCTGGGAGTTGAAGTCCACGAGTCATAAAAGAGCCAAGGTTGCCTACCCCTGATCTAGATCATCTGGATGATTTGAGGATTCCTGTCTGCGCTAAAAGTTCTCCAAGACCTTTTCCAATCCTCTGATTTTATGCCCTGGGAGGTAATGGATCTATAAAGTAAGGGCAAGTCAAAGTCCACCTTTTCTCCCCAAAGTCCCCCTTTGTTCAATTTCAGAGGGCATTCTGTCCTTCTTTCCCCCCTTTGTTGTACACCCACTCAGATACATCCAAACACCTCTTTGCAGATGAAAAAGATAGCCCGCCGGCAGCAGCAGCAGCAACAGCAGCAGCAACAGGAGCAAGAGCAGCTGGGAAATCCCCGTCTAGGGGCAGGGAGGGGAAATGGACGCAGCAGCAGACAGAGCAATGAGGACAGCGAAGGTAAGAACATCTCAAGAATAACAGAATTCCTAGAGATAGCTTGGTCTTCTTCTGGGCCATGTTGGTTTCTCGTATGTACATTCAGAAACTGGGACCATCTCAGTTCTGTATTCATCTGTTTCAAATATGCATTTTTCAACGGATTTGTTTATTTATTTATTTATTTTAAAAACCCTGCCTTTTAAACCTGCCCTAGTTTAGACAAGGGTATAGAAAAACATGGGAAGCATTTCAGAAGGAACCTTCCCTAGTTTTCTGGAGAGTGCAAAGAGAGGAAGGGAGAAATACTTTCAGTTTTGCAAGATTGTGTTTAACGTAATCTTACAATAAAGATAGTGCTGAGGGCTCCCGGTCCTGTGTCTTGTATGGACCATTTCAGAGGGCTAACACATTTGCTCCTGAAATAGACGTTTTATAAGCTGGGGGGGGGGGAGGAAGAGGTTTTGAATTGCAAATTTCATCACATCATTTGGAGAAGACAGAAATCCAAAAGAGAGGTGGTCCCAATCTAGCGTGGGACATTCTGGAGCCCAAGTATTCCTGCAAACCATCCCTTGACATTTGCTGGGATTCTGCCCCACTTAGCATTCGGATATACACGTACAACCCCCCAGGTTCCAGAATCTACTTAGAAGAATGCTACTGCTCCCAACCCTAATTTCCCACAGTCCATCTAAGAACATAAAACATGCTCACCAGAACAGCTGTGTTAACTACCTAACTCAGTGATGGCAAACTGATGGCAAAACTTCTCCGCCACCTTCCCCCCCCACTCTGCTCTGCCCCCTTCCCAGCCTACTCTGCCCCGCCTCCTACCCCACCCATTCTGCCACTCCCCCACCCCCCGCAGGGCCACCTACCACCGCCCCGCCCCGCTGTGGCAGATCGCCCAGGTGGCCCTGCAGCACCATGGCGGCCATGCAGCAGATGATGCTGCGGGGCGCGGGGGTGGAGTCTTGTACCTGCTGCCCGGCTACCATGTCCTTGGCTGTGCTGCTCTGCACGGGCCACGATTGGGGGTGACTCTCCTCTAGGGGGGCTGCTGGTGAAGAGGGGGCTGTGGGGGGGAGGCGGGGCTGGGGCGACGGCATGCATGCATGCCCACAGAGAGGGCTCTGAGTGTCACCTCTGGCACGCGTGCCATAGGTTCGCCACCACTGACCTAACTCAAACATGTAGCTGTGATTAAAATCCTTGCACAATCCTACTTGGGATCAAGGTATCTGGTATATCTGGATCGGTAAGTTATCTTTTTCTGACGGGTTACATATAGTTTGGATAAGATTTTCCCACTGGGAGTTTGTCACCTGTTAAGATCCTGCCTGTTGAAGGCAGGGAACATAAGTGAGAAATGAAATTGGATAAGATAGATTTGAGGCCTCAGAAGCATTATTTTAATCTAATTTTCCCACACAGATAAAGAATTACATGATAACATTTCATATTGGGGAGATACAAAATATCCTGAAAGGTGCATGTGTGGGGGGGAGGGGGGAGGGGAACTAGCTCTATGCTTATTGGAAGCCAACTGGGAAGATGGCAAATGGTGATCATGTGACTCTGTGACCTTGAAACCATCACAGATACATGCCAGTTGCCAAGTGCCCAAATTTTGATCACCGTGACTATGAAGCTGTTGTGAGGGTTGTAAGTATGAAGACCTTTTTTCACTTTTTTTTCAGTGCCACTGTAACGGTCACTAAGTGAATGATTGTAAGTCAAGCAAAGAGAAAAGTTCTAGTCCAACATCTTCTTGCTGTGATAAGATCTAACAACCCTTTTTCAGGCAAACAAATGTAATATTCAAAAAAAAATCTTCATGGTTCAGTTATGTTACAGTTTCCAATGCAGAGCAGGCGGCAAATAACAGGGAACAAAACTGGCTCAATAATTCTTGCGCTTAAAAGGAGAGTAAAGTATAACATACATTAAATAGGAAAACAATGGGTACCAATATGTGCAAAATGTATACACAGATTTGATAACCAGTAGTGAGTGCGTAAAACCTTTGTATTTTAATTAAACAGTGTTTGCAATGACTGAACACTGTAGAAGACGACATTTTTAGGCTTATATGTCCAGTTTAATTACCATGGTTTCCAACCAACCTGCAACTTGGGAATTGCACAGGTTTTATTTTATTTTATTTTGTATTGGTGCTTCTGTTAGGGAGAAGCCTATCATCCCCCTAATTCCCTGGGAAATGCCATGATAGTTACAGTACAGCAACATTAAAGCCAGACAAGTTTTACCAAAGCCCTGTCCAAAGCTACAGTTGGCTTCTAAGCAACTTAGGAGTGTGCATTCATGAACGCCAAATTTTTACCTGAAACATGAAAGCCAGAAACACACTTAAGAATAAATAAAAATAAAATTCCTGCAATCAAGAGAGCACTATAAAAGCAATACCTGACCATTTTCAATTTCAGCCAGGTACCTTGGGTAAGACATATTGAGCCATCATTTTGGTCATTATAACCTATATTCCCCTACATCTATATTTTCTTCGATTTGTTTTTCCTCCATTTGCTAGTTTTATGTTTTTTTAAAAAAAAAAGAATACCAAGCATGGCACATCCATCCAATAAGTCTCACCTGATCTTGGAGAAAGTAGCTTCAATTGTTGTTCATTGTTCTTTATAAAAAGTATTATTGTTGTTAATGTTTCCTAATGATGGTTTGCGCCTTCTTTCCTATTGCTTCACCAACTGCTCAATAGATAGCGCCAGTGTGCATGGAATAGATGGGCTCATGGTACCTTACTCCAGGATTGCCCAGCAGCAGCTGCTTCCCTTGGATCAGAACAGCTACAGCACAGACTTGTACCGGCAAGGACTCACCCCACCCCAGTTGCCGGGAGACCATCTTCATCCATACGGTGGGCTCACTCACCTTCCTCAAATTCCTTTCAGTTTCTCCCTTTCAGCTATCCAACCACTGTATCCCCTTGTTCTGCTATATCTGCAACGTGCTTTTATTTCTTGCCAGCGCTCTTCTAATGTGGTTGCATAATGATTACGTCTCCCCACACGTAGGAAGGCAGCCTTTGGCTGCCTTAGAACCATCAGTCCCTTTTTCTGATTCTATTTTTCCCCCTCCCTTCAAAGGCTACCGATGAACATCTATCATGCAGTGAATTGTACCTAATGCATATATCATACCTGACTGTGTGCATGCATTTACCTGACACTGAAAGTGGTACTTTTGTATGGGCCTTGAAAACGAGAGGCCGAGGAGCAGAGGGAGGAGGCGGTGGCTGTCCTAGGCAATCTTTTGCTCCGGAATGGGACAAATTGCCACAGCCAACTCACCACAGCCAACTTGCTGCAGGACAACTCGCTGTGGGGCAACTCGCTACGGGACAATTTAACAATTCTGTTTAGTTATTTAAAATAAATTACAAATATTTTAATTTTTGCCATTCACATTTCATTCTGTCCCTCCTTTTGCATCCTTTCTTCAATGATTCTATTCCACTGTTTCTTTGATATCGTACTGTGTAACGCTTGTCCTGCAGTGAGTTGTCCTGCAGCGAATTGGCTGTGGCGAGTGGGCCATGGTGAGATGGCCATGGCAAGTTGGCCATAGCGAATTGGCCATGGCAAACGGCCATAAACCCCTTTTGCTCTGTCTAGTTCACCTGTATTGAGTGAGCTACATCAACAGTAAGATATAGTAGCAGCGACCAGCCTTCTGAGTGAAAGGGGGAGCTGGTTCCTTACCTTAAGCCAGTGGTTCTCAACCTGTGGGTCGGGACCCCATTTGGGGTCGATCGACCATTTCATGGGGGTCGCCAAGCAAGGCTGTCCGCCATTTTTTTGTCCGCCATTTTTTTTGTCCACCATTTTTTCCCCCTTTTCCGGCGGGTGCCTTACCTCCCTTGGGCTGGGCCAGCTGGTGGTCGGCCTGCTCCGTCTCTGCCGCTTGCCAGCTACGCCTCGGCCAGCGCAGGGGGTGGAACCACGCATGTGCGGCGCTCCCGGGCAGGGAAAGTCCTCGACTTACGACCGGTTGGGTAGTCCTCAATTTACGACTGGTTTAGTCCTCGACTTACGACCGGTTTAGTCCTCGACTTACGACCGGTTGGGGTCGCGGCATTAAAAAGGTTGAGAACCACTTAAGCCATCACTAGTTGGAGCAAAGAATTACAGAATCCGTGATGCCATACTAATTGAAGACCTACAAGAATCTAGGGGTGGCTGCATTTTCTGACCAATCATGTTTCTCTCTCAGCGAGGAGCATGATTTACTCTAGCTTGAGAACCTTCATCTTCCCAAGCAATGTTTACCATCTCTTTCCTTTTCCATTTAGATTCGGAAGGTGTTTTCCATGACATGGACAGCGACACGATCGGCCATTTGGGCGACTGCCTGCTGTCTGCGGCTGAGGCCAACCTCCTGCAGACTCGAGTGGGCAATCCAATCGACAGGCTGTACTCCATGCAAAACTCCTACTTCACCTCCTGACCCTTGGCTCTTCCGCCTGATACGAGCCACTCTGGGTGTAGAAGGGGGTAAATGGCATGGAGGGGCAAGACCGATCCATCGGGCAGAACTCTTTGGACCCTGTAACACTAATAAGGCACGTGAGGCTGTCAGGCCTGTGTGTGATTCTTCCTGGGCATTGAGAATTGAACCATGGAGGACCTTGCTGCACTGCCTTTCCCGTCCCCTCACCCAATGTCCTCTCGCTGGGCAGTTTCATATTGTGTAGCTGTACGTCTAGCATCGTGTTCTTTGTGTTTAAACTGCAGGGCGTTACACCTAGTTGATACATCAAGCACAAAAGCAGGAGGTCTAGCTCTTGGTAAGGTTTCCATGCTTTGGGGGGTGCTTTTTCTCAACTTTTATTGACGCGGAAAATTCCCTTCTCTTGAATGTGCTAATGTACAGATTAGCCAGAAAGAAAACAAATCCCCCTAAAGTAAAGTATCCCATAAGAGTACTTTGACATTAACACTGTCGATTAGGTCATATTAACTGCTAGGGCTTGCCGCCTATAAAGATTCTGGGATTTCTAATTTGCTAAAGAGAGTGAAGTTCTGAACTCAGAATCCCAGCCTGCTCACAGAACTGCAATTTAGAAGGTTCTTCTTGGAAAAATGAAAGAGTTTATCATTGCTATATGTTATACCTCCTCCAGATAGCTGAGAGATTCTATGGACTACTGAGAAATGATCTAGATTAAGGACAGACAGCATGGGGAACTATGGATGTTGTTTGACTCTAATCCGCTCCAAAACCATGGTCAATGATTTGCTACGATGAACATGATAAAGTTTAAGAACATCTGGAAAGCCATAGATCTCCCCTCTTGAGATAGATGGAAAACTACCTCCATGGTACTCAATGTGCACTGCACAGGTTTCTGCCTAATCTACCTTTGAATATTTTAGGACCCTCCATAAATCTCTCTCACTACAATTCAGCAACGCTTCATCCCTGAGCAAGTACTGGACTGTTGCCTTTTCTCATTTATCATTTTGATATACTTTCTGCAACACTGAAGAACTATACCTCCTCACCAATCTTTCTTGTTCAATTTTGCTGTGGTCCTAAGACTCCCCAGCCAGTGCTGTGTCTCCTTGATCCGAAAAATTTTTAGAACATGGCACCCAGTTAAAGACATTTTTGAAAGCTATGCAGAATAGCTCAACTCTTCAGAATGGGCTCCTTAGACAGATTCTAAGGATGTTCTTCCTAAGGATATGACTGAAACTTCCTAACCTCTTGGCTGCTTTCCATTAATTATCTGACCCTAGCTGAAGACTTCATGCAAGATGGCCTCAGTCATGCTCTTTCATTGGTCAAAGCAGCTCAGAAGACATCGTAGCAATGCTTTCTTTTGCCACTATAGCATGCAATCTGGATCATCATTACCAATAAGGGACCCCTAAAAGGGCACGCTTTTGTCCTGCCCCTCCCCCCCAAAAAAGGGCACACTTGTCTCCTGGATCTCTGAGTTGCTTTTACATTCTGCAGATCTATGAGGTGGATGGAAGCATTTTTATTGCTGACATATCCGGATGACATAAAAAAAACCCCTCTGTAATACACCAAGAGGTGTATCATTTTAGCCAGACACATTTACTCTACAACAGATTACCAGGAGGTAATCTGATGTGGAGCAAATGTGTCTGGCTAAAATGATTTTTCTAAAAGCAGACTTCTCTCTTTTAGGCTGACCACCGAGTTCAGGGGTAGCCAGCCTAACAATCAGTGGTGCACGTGTTAACCAGCAATGTTAACATAAGCAGTGTTAACCAGCAGCTCATTCAAAAGAAGATCCTAAGACTATAACTATGTATGAAGGGCTGGGGTGGGGAAAACTCAAATGTATACATTTGTGGTAAAAGACTGAGCTCTTTTAAATGCAAATCCTTTGCCCTGTTTTGAACTTTTAACTCAAGTCACTTTCAACCAGTTTGGCAAACAACAAGAGGCTGCAGCCATGACAGTAAAAAGAACTGTCTGGAAGGCATCACACTGCTTATTCCTGTCTTAAAATATTTAACAGGACGGCGGGCCCAGTCACAATTGTTCACTATTTCGTCTACTGTAGTTGATTTTACTGGACAGGTGAACAAAGCAAACCGACTGTTGTCCCTTCGTAGTCATTCAGTATGTGCCAGCATCTGCTATGTACACAGGGACAGTTACATCTAAGAGGAAGAAGAGAGATATATAGGTAATCCACACTTAATGATGAATGGGTCAGGCAACTCCACCACTATGTGATGTGGTTCTTAATTGAACCACTTGTTGGGAACCTTCTAGGAACTGTGCAAATGGCGATTACATGACCAGGGGACACTGCAACAGTTGTAAATACCTGCCAGTTGTGAGCATCCTAATCTCAATCACGTGACCATAGGGGACACTGCAACTGTATTAAGTGCAAGGACCATTTGTAAAATTACTCCTTCGGCACCATGATAACCTCAAAGGTCTGCTAAACAGGGCAGTCACTAAGCAATAGTACCTGTATTATAAAAAATAAAAGACCACAGTGCACCTCTCCATAACCACAGAGCCTGGCTTTGGATTAGAATGGGGCACTTAATCACAGAAATCCTAACTTAGCTATCACTGTGCCCCTTAACCCAGCACTTCCAATTATCTGTCCTTCACTTTTTAAAAAGTTTATTTTTCTATATGAAATCGCACCTATATAGCCTCTCAGTCCTTTAAAATATCAAAGCTATCCTGAGGCTGTGCCTGGCAAATACAGGAGATGGGTAGTCCTTGACTTACAACAACAACTGAGCCCAGAAATTACGTTGCTAGGTGAGAAATTTGAAATTAAGTGAATCACTGCAATTGTTAAATGATAACATGATTGTCAAGTGAGTCTGGCTTCCCCCACTGTTGCAAAAGATGATCACACAATCCCGGGACACTGCAACTGTCATAAATATGAACCAGTTGCCAAGCATCTGAATGTAAATCATGTGACCCTGGGGATGGGGCAACGGTCGTAAGTGTGAAAAATGATCAGAAGTCACTTTTTTCAGTGCTGTTGTAACTTTGAACAGTCACTAAACAAACTGTTGTAAGTTGAGGACTACCTGAATGACAGGAGAGACAGCCAGATTGCTGCTGGGCAGAGACAGTTTCTGCTTGAAACTGCAAACTCCTTTTTAAGAGCTCAGAATAACTGATTATAAAAAGGGTACCAGCATAAGGGTGTCACCTCTCAATCTATTATGTCTGAGGTGTTTTTGTTTTTTAATCAAAGATACTCCTCAAGGTAGGATAGCTATTTAAGCCTCTTCCTTTTTCTTTCGGTTCACGCACTGTTTTTTTAATGTGTGAAGCTTAGAACTGTATTTTCAGAGGTTTGGCTGCAACAAGCTGCTGCAGAAGACCTACACAGGACTGACTGCTTGGCAACATCTCTGCCCCACATTACACCAGCCACTATTTCTGGTTGAGGATCAAAATGCTTGTGATCTGCATCCTGCTAGAACTGGCTGAAACAGGACACGTTCCCATACAGATACAGGATTACAATATTTAATAAAGTTGAAAGGCCGTATCAGCAAAGTGGTTAAGGCAACAGGCTAGAAACTGGGATGCTGAGGTCAAGTCCTGCCCTGGGCATGAAGTTAGTTAGGAGATCTTGGACCAGTTCCTTAGTCCTAGGAAGGAGGCAAGGGCAAACCACTTCCGGAAAACTTTGCCAGGAAAATTGCAGGGGCCTGTCCAGGCAGTTACCAGGAGTTAACATTGACACGAAGGTACTACTGTACACATACCAGAAAGAAATCCTTCCCAAGACACAGAATTGAAAGCATGAAACTATTGTGGCGTGCATGGAACAGCCAGATGAATCGTGCCCTCTGTGTATGTTTATACAGCTGTAGCTTCCTCCAGAAATATTTGCACTAAGTTTGGGTACAGTGAGTTTTGAAAAGGATTTCTGTGAAGCAAGCACACAGTAATCAGTGCTCTCCAGATGTCATGCCTGCTGAAAAGAAGAATCTCACCTTTCCATGCCTGTTGTGATCCTCTGTCGTGTTGTGCTGATGTCTTTTGCATGTGCATTTGGAAATTAAAACAGCGAAAAACTAATGCCTTGCCTGCCTATGGTACACTGTTTGCATTTTCAGATCTTTGACATTGATGTTGAGCATGGGTGAAGTTCTAAAAAGAGTTCCTTGTACACAGCTGGACATTAGCAGTATTTTCAAGCTAGAGTTGGTTGCTTTATGGAAAGATGTACCAATTATTCTGGGTACTGGTTGTAGAAAAAGACAACTGAACAACTTACAGCTCATCTCAAGTCTCCCAACCTTCTGTGGCAGCCTATAGGGATCTGTCCCCTTTTTTACCACCCCACCCCACCCCCCCGGGGCCAGGATCATCACCCCAAAATTTTGCAGAGCAATTTTCCTGCTGTGACATGAAAAAACAATCCTGGATATCCCAGGGTGCCTCTAAGTTCTAAAGATTGGCCTAGAAAAATACTTTGGCAAATCTGTAGCTTCACCTTGAAGCAGAATATCCATGTCACAAAAAAGGGGTATATGTGTCTGTATGGGGGGAGGGTGTTAAAGATGCTTGAGAGTGGCTGCTGCTGCTACTACTAATTCAGCAGTTGTGTTTTGACCTTTGGAAATTCTTCATATGAAACCTTTGAAAATACGACAATATCAGCACCCAAAGCATTTATAAAAGAAGTAACCTGCATGACGTTGTACAACGTTTGAGTTAGGGAACAAGGCTGGAAGAGTGATCCTTAGCAATGCAGAGGCATTTGGCCAGAGAAAGCAGCAGTTGTGCAGGCCTGAGATTTCTGGGGTAAAGCTAAAGAACAGGGAGCTTTCCCTATCCAGAAGCTGAAAGCAGTATTTTCAGAAAACCAAAGCTGGTCATTTCACATCAATAATTATTCCCGTATCACCTATTCCATGGCAGCTACATTTCTGAGTAATGTTTGGGAACAGGCCAGTGGGGGCAAGTCA